TTCGTTATGTTAACTTCAATTAAGAAAAATGCAAATATGAAATACAAGAACGATTTTTTAGAATTCACTGACTGCGGCCAAAAAACAGGATTGCAATTGTAACCTTGATTCGCTCGACACTTTAGAAACACTTAATTCTTATTAATGCATGCCGTGGCCAAGGTTACGACAATGGAAGTAACATGAGGGTGGCGTTTAATGGTGCACAGGCATTTTTTCTTCAGTGGAATCCTTTGGCAAAGTTTTCTCCATGTGCTTGTCACAGTTTTAACTTGTGTGGAGTGCATGCTGTTGAGTGTTGCCCGGAGGCAGCAACATTTTTGGGGATAATACAGCAACTGTATAATCTGTTTAGCTGTAGTCCCCAGCGATGGAAAATTCTGAAGGAATGAGTTGGATTATCGTGGCCATCAACCTGATTAAAGTTGTTGGTACCAATTGACTATAGAAGCAAACTGCTACAAGCTCGAAATACTACCAGTGATGTTGAAGTCAAGAACATTGAAAGCTCGTTAGTTGAATTAAGCTTTATTCGAGAAAACTGGAATACCATACTTCCTGAAGCTAAAGTTGTTGCCAATGCAATGAATATCGAGCCAACATTTCCAGAAATGCGCACTAAGAAGAGGAAAGTTATTGTTGGGGTCAGGCCTGAGAAGAGGGGGGACAAAATTACCAGGGCTCGGACCGTTCAAAATGTACATTACAAGATAACTTTTGGAATAACTAACATCTAAAACTTGGTAATGCTGTTTTTGTTGTCTTTATCTAGCTTGATTGATTTATTTATTTACATTTTTCTTAATATTATTTTTGTTGTTATAATTTATAATATAGAAAAATAACTCTGTAGGATAGCCTTGTTGTGCCCAAATGGCTCTTTGCTATCCTAGTACATTCTTATGTTCTTATGACTATTTGCATTAGCTAACTTTTCGAAAAAAAACTTAATCAAATTCTAAGCAAGTGTTTTCATACATATTTTTGTATTTAAATCTCAAATTCCTCTTAATGGGTACTTCCGAGAGACACAATATAATACACAATGTGAAGTCCGATACCTTCACTACTTCACAAAAATAACAAAAAAATAATAATAGCAAAGAGTTAATAACTCCTTCTGTGGGAAAATATGTTAAGTTTCTCTAATTTAACTTTTTTTTTCATAATTGAAGTGGACATATTGAAAACGTCAAAATGTATGACAACAGCTATGTTAGAATGCTAAAATAAACAACCTAGCACAAAATTCTTGCTTAGGTCCTTTATATTCATATCACATCGTGATCAGAGAGAAAGAGCGGCACTATACTTGTTAATCTTTTTCTAAAAAGTATTTTACCTTATGAAAAACATAATTCTTTACTGGCGATTTCTTCTCAAAGTACAATTTAAAATATCAAGTTTCGATCTTTTCATGGCCTCACATTGGACATCATACCTTAACTACAGCTTTGTTTAAGCGCAAAGCTATAAAGCGAACTTCCATTTGAGAGAACGGCACAGAAATGAAATCAGGTAACTGATTCTCTTCCTCTCAGAAAAGTTGAAACTATGTGAAAGATTTATTATACCATCTTAATGGAAAACTTCAAAAAGGCGTATTACAATTGAAAATAAAGTGTTAAAGCATGAAGATTCCCTGAATTTTGGTTGAATTTGAGATTAAAGTTGCAAAGGTATTCAAATTTAATAGAATAAAACTAAATGTGGGTGGAAAAAAACGTGGATATAAATTCAACGACAGTCTCGTTAGTATAACTTTATATTTTGAAGATGGGTTGAAAGTAAGATAACTGTAGAAAGAAAATGACTAATATTTAAAAAAAATAAAGTGAATATAGGAAAAGTATATAATAAGATCACTCACCAGATTGAAGTATAGAAAACAAATCAGGCATTATTATTTGAAAATTCTTTCCAGAGAATCAATTATGCCAGTATTAGTGAACAAGAAAAAACAGCAAAACGTTGCGATGCTAATATGACTGAAAATTTGTGCCTACAAGACCTAACAGAAAAAAAAAATGTTATAAATGATAACCAAAGAAGCTTCGAAGTTCTTCGAAAACTTAAATTCGTCAATGGTGTTTTGTATATTGGTGCGGTAAGGAATATAGAAAAAAACACGTATAAGAAAAATTTCGGAGTAGAGAAAGAGAGAAAATCTAAATTTACTGTAAAAATAATTGCTAATTCAAAATATGGCTTGCGAGTGTTTGCCATTTAAAAAGGAGTGTATAATAACGGAAAGTTTTATTGTAATACTCTTTGACAGGTAGGTTTACGTTTTACCTAACAATAATTCAGTTAATCCAACTAATTTAAATATATATCAGTTGAAGTGAATATTGTAAAGCTTCAAGTTCTTGATGAAATCTTGAAAAATCCCTAATAAAATAAAAAACTTTGAACATGGTCTTAAGTTATCATTAACACTTTAGCTAAAATGTTGGACCTCTTCTTATTCTACTAGCGTTGAGCTTCCCTTACAGCAGTTGAAATCCTTTCATACTGAAAAAGTAGATAGCACGAATTTTGAAATTATTGTTAGTAAAGTTATATTTTTGTTATAGTTTTTCATCACAAAGTTTCACAATGGGACATCTGCGTTCTGTCTATTGCGGGGAATCGAACCTCAGATTTTTTTGTTGTGTAACTAAAATGGCCAGTACAACACCATCTGGTTTTTATTCTTATCAATTTAAAAATATAATTAAAATAATTAGTCTAAAGATGAATTAAGTCCTAAAATGGTTAAATTACCTATTTTGAAATTAGCCAAAATATATATAACGCAGACCTTCTTAATTAAGAAGTTAACATAATCAAGACCTGACTAAATCTGTATTTATCAAAAAATATTGAAGTTACTTCCAAACAGCCTTATCTTGTTTCCTAGGAAAAACCTAGAGTCAGACTTATGGCTACTACTATGGATTTAAGATTTAAGATCTTATTCCTTTATCATAAACAAAACTGGCTATAATTTTTATTTGAAGAATAAAAAGAGGAAAACCCGTGTTCATTTTTTAGCTGCTTAAATAATCGAAATTCAAGCACTGAATGTATTGTAAAAGAACAAAAATATTATTTGCATTTCAAATTTTTAGCCGCGGTATAACGGCTCATAGAATGGTTCTGAGTTTTTTGTTTTTTTTCAAGTACAAACTTTTAGCTCATAGCTCCGTCATCTCTTGAAGGATTTGAGATCTAATTACAGTTTTGAACTCAGGAGATAAATCCTTTCGACTGATGTATTTGATCACATCCAAGGTCTCAGAGATTAATTTATTCTAATCCTGCCTAAGAGAATTTCAATTTGAGGGTAGGCTGATGAGTAATAAAATCGAATCGGGTACACGTGCGCCCCACGCTTGGTATTTCTGGCGCACAAAAATATAGCTAATAAAAAGAAAAAAAGGTCTCATAGATTAATTTATTCTAATACTGCCTAAAAGAATTTCAAGTATCGCGGCTATTGAGGATTCCCTCATGTTCTTTTTTGATTTACACATTAAAAAAATCTGAAATATTTTCTCTTATTACTGGAATGTATTTTCACTTCAGTCGTGTGAAATTAGCATTCAGGTACTCTTTTTTTATAATGTAGTCAGCGATTTTTCAAGCATTCCATCAAAATTAAAAAGTAAAGTTATTTATCAAAGAGATGAATTTACGATTTCACTCATAAATAGTATTAACAAAAAGGTGTTTAAATAAACGACAGCCTTCTAGTGATACAGCGCAAACGTGCCTAAATCCT